CGCTCTTCCATCTTCCCAATGCCCCTCGGTGGGACCCTGTGGCCCTTCTGCCCTCACACCAAATGGGAATCTCCCATTCTGCCTGTGGTGTTCAGACCCACTTGCAGAGGTTCCCACACAAGTTGGGGTCCATTGTGGGGATCTTCTCTTCCCTCCACATGGCTGCGTATCTCAGGTGGGACCAGTGAAGGTCCTACTGCTGGCAGATGGTTTGGTCTTCTTGTACATATTTGGGTCTTGTGGAATATCGAGTCACTTAGTCTTTTCTTCTGCTGATTTTTCTTTCTGTCCTGATTTTTCTGTCCATTTTTAGGAGGAGATATAATGGAAAGTTAGAAAATTATGACGCCATCATGAGTTCACCCCAACTCCCTTATATTTTTTCCTCAAACTATATTCCTCCTGAACTCAGTCTTGAGTTGGAGTCCTTGACTCTGAGGATATAAACCTTCGTCCTAGCTCTAGTCCTCCAGGCATGGTATTTGTATTGGACTTTCTAGAGCTTGAATGTGGCCTTTCCAAATAGACTTGATTTGCCCCTTATTCTGGATACTTTACTCATCCATGGAAACCAGCTCTGACAGTGGCCATCCCGTCCAAGTCCAACTGCCCTTCAAACTTCCCTCTGAGACTCATAGAAGAGAATTCAACCATTAGAGAGCATTTTGTCTATCCTCACTGTTTTATAGATGAAAAACTTAGGCTTACATAAATTAGGAAAAATATCCAAAGTCTCAGAGATTTTCTGCAGCAGTATGAACTAATTTACTGGTTCATCTAATCTATACCAGCAGCTTATGACAGAAAGTCCTGCCCTGTTTCCCAATCAGCCTGAACAGAGCCACAGGATCCTCGTGAACATAATGTGCATGGCAGTCACTTCTAGAAGCTTCTGATCCCGGTCCAGTGCTCTTTCTAAAACACACTCAATTCCTGCTCTTAGCCATGGTAACAAATATACTTACCTTCCATCTAAGTACAGCACAATGCTGCCTTGAGTTTTGTTTGTGGTTCACTATGATCCCTAGATCCTTTTCTCTTGTTATCTCAAATAGAAGGAAATTTCCAGTTGTATTTTATTTATTTATTCTATTTTTTATTTTTTATTTTTTTGGCCATGGCTGTGAAAGCTCGGAATCCTAACCACTAGGCCACCAGGGAACTCCCCCCCAGTTGTATTTTAGTTTTTCTTTCTCCTCCTTCTCTTCCTTTTTGTGTGCAATATCTTTCACTCTGTTCTCCAATACTTGTTACTATTTTTTCCTCTCCCGACCATTTTTTAACAATAAGGCGAAAGATTTAGACAAGGACTAATTTAAAACTATAAATGAGTACAAACTTGCCCACCAACATCTGTGAGTAGATCAGCATGTTTTTCCCCCCAAAGCATTTCATAAAATCTTTTTTAAAATTTTAATTAATTAATTTATTTATTTTTGCGGTACGTGGGCCTCTCACTGTTGTGGCCTCTCCCGTTGCAGAGCACAGGCTCCGGACGTGCAGGCTCAGCGGCCATGGCTCACGGGCCCAGCCGCTCCACAGCATGTGGGATCTTCCCGGACTGGGGCACGAACCCGTGGTCCCCTGCATCGGCAGGCGGACTCTCAACCACTGCACCACCAGGGAAGCCCCTTTTTAAAAAAATTAATTAATTTATTTTTGGCTGCGTTGGGTCTTCGTTGCTGCGCACGGGCTTTCTGTAGTTGCAGCGAGTGAGGTCTACTCTTCATTGTGGTGCGCGGGCTTCTCATGGCGGTGGCTTCTCTTGCTGCGGAGCACAGGCTCTAGGCGCGCGGGCTTCAGTAGTTGTGGCACGTGGGCTCAGTAGTTGTGGCTCACGGGCTCTAGAGCGCAGGCTCAGTAGTTGTGGCGCACAGGCTTAGTTGCCCCGCGGCATGTGGGATCTTCCCGGACAAGGGTTTGAACCTGTGTGCCCTGTATTGGCAGGTGGATTCTTAACCACTGCGCCAACAGGGAAGTGCCCATAACATTTTTTAACAGCATCTGCAGCGTGATTTATATGGGTCTGAGTGCTTTTCTACCCACCTGTTTAGCCACAGTATTTATGAAATCGCACGTCTTTATGCTTCAGCACCTCTTGTACTGAGCACTCAGTGGGAAGAGCTTTTTAATGTTTTATTAGTGTCTCGTTCATTTGCAGCCCGTGCCTGTCTTGCTCCCACCGCCATTGCACTACGTGCTACATGACTGGATATTCATTTCATTCAATCTGTGGGGTTATAAAACATGCTATCTAAAAGTCTTCGTAATCCAAACGTCTCAGCATCAGACTTCCTTTTATATGATCAGGTTAGCTCTGAAATATAATTGAGAGGAGCGTGACCTAGGCACCTTTGGGCTAGGAGAAGGCAAGGTCTGCATACTAAGCAAAATGGCAGAAAACGTATAAATACATGGAGAAGACCGATTTCAAAATCAGCTGGGAGAGATGATTCTCACTGTTGTTGTGGATCTTTCTGGCCAGTACAAGGGCCGGAATGGGTTCCTCGTCTTGGGCCCATACACCAGAACTCCACCCAAAGACCTGAAAATGACTCCTCTCTAAAAGAGAATGTGTGATTCCACCGCAGGGGGAAGTTCGCCCTGCAGCCTCCCCACGTCCAGGAGTGTAGCCCCTTAATCCAAGGTGCAGCCAACCCCAGGCCCTGCCAAGGCCAATGTCATCTGGGATTGAGGAATGAGGGAATGAATGATACACTGCACTGACTCAGGTGCCAGAGAAGACAGGTGCTTTCCAACCATCCTGCTGATTTCCACAATACTCCTGGAGACACATACTGTGAGCCTCATTTTATTGCATACTGTCAACAAAGTTAAAGGTTTGAAACTGTTAAGTTTGAAGGTGGAACCAGAGTTCAAATTCAGGTCTTCTAATTCCTTATCTCAGACTCTTTTCATGATTCCTCTGTGATGGCATCTTCTCATCCATCCTCCCTGGTACCAAGGAGACAAAGAGTTAACCACATAGTAATTTATACAACTGTATAAGTCTTATAAGTACCATTTTTTTTTTTTTTTTTTTTTTTTTTATATATGTGTTAGCATATGGTATTTGTCTTTCTCTTTCTGACTTACTTCACTCTGTATG